AACACTAGTGCAGCTGGCCTCTCCCAGGCAGCTTATCCAGGCCCCGCACAGGGGCCCGGGGCAGAGACAGGCAGCCGCTGACCTTGACTGCATCAGAGCCCCTCCCGAGAGCTCCAGAACCCACACACCCAAAGGCCCGCATCAGACCCACCAGAACATCTCCCAACCTCCTCCACGAGTGACACATCCAAAGGGTAGCCTCAGCAGGCACCCAAGGAACACTAAAACGAATCCTGCGCCACAGGGTTCCCCTATCAACCTCCTCCAGCGTAGTGAGGGTCAACCCCTCTCTGCCATACCAAAGCAATCAATCAAGGCTCAGCTACCGGGAGGGGTCCCGCTCCAGACCAGGGGGACTGCACTGGGCCCATGGACACTGACTGCCGAAGGCCCCTCTACCGAGACGGGGAGACGGAACACCCTCCCTAATCCACAGAAACAAATGCAGGAGGCAAACAAAATGAGGAAACAAACATGTCCCAGCTGAAAGAACAAAACTCTAGAAGAAAAGAAAAAAAAGGCTAAACAAAATGGAGACAAGCAATCTATCAGATGTAGAGTTCAAAACTCAGGTTATAAAGATGACTGTGTTCTCAGTGAACACTTCACGGAGATTGGAAACATAAACATGGAGATGGAAAACATAAAAAAGAACCAGTTCAGAAACGAAGACTATAATAACTGAAATAAATAATAAAGTAGATTAGATAAAGTACTTGATCAAATCAGTGATTTGGAAGATCAGGTAACAGAAAACATCCAATCAAAACAGCAAAGCCCAGCCAGTGTGGCTCAGTAGTTGAGCATCACCCCATGAACCAAGAGGTCATCGGTCAGGGCACATGTCTGCTGACAGCACCTTAAAAGAGACGGCCACTCGTCATGGAAGCATACCTTAGATGGCAGTAGGGGCATGTGTGACCTCAAGGGTTGGGCAGATCGAGAATGATTTCCAGAGGAAGTGATGCTCTGAGCTGGGACATAAGTTTAAAAAGAAAGCACCTGGGGGAAGAGCCAGAGAACAGCATTCCAGAAAAGAAAGAACAGCATCTGCAAAGTAAAACTCTAATTCTCAGATGGTCAATATAAAAACAGGGAGTAGCCGAAACCGGTTTGGCTCAGTGGTAGAGCCTCGGTCTGCGGACTGAAAGGTCCTGGGTTCGATTCCTGTCAAGGAATACATTGGCTGCTGGTCGATGTTTCTCTCTCATCGACGTTTCTGGCTCTCTATCTCTCTCCCTTCCTCTCTGTAAAAAATCAATAAAATATATTAAAAAAATAAAAAAATAAAAACAGGGAGTAGAAAACAGCAAAATGTTTATGCTTTCTAATCTACTCCTTCTATTATAAGAAATTGGTTTACCTTTCTACTGTCACCAAATTTTTCTGACTATACAAAAACTGTCCAGATATATTTACTAAGACACTTTTTAAAATATTACTGATATGCAAAATTGAATGGTTAGCATTTCCCATACTTTTTTAAAAAAATATATTTTATTGATTTTGTACAGAGAGGAAGGGAGAGAGATAGAAAACTAGAAACATCGATGAGAGTGTTCGATCAGCTGCCTCTTGCACACCCCCTACTGGGGATATGCCCGCAACCAAGGTATTATACATGCCCTTGACCGGAATCGAACCCGGGTCCCTTCAGTCCCCAAGCCGACGCTCTATCCATTGAGCCAAACCGGTCTCAGCATACTTTTTTTTTTTTAACTTTCAACACAACTTTAACCCTGAAGACTCTTGAGGAAGATATTTCTATTTTTTCCCCCCCAGATGAAGAGGTTTTTGCTCAGAGGAGACCATAAAGTATGCTTTCTAAACTGTCCTCTCTCTTGTTTATTATGGAACAGTCCTGAGCAATTCACTCCTTTCCCAGCAGTATTTCAACATTCTACCCCACTTAATTCTACCGGACAAGCCGTACAACACAAAGGTGTGACTACACATTCGAGCTGGAAAGAAAAGTTCTTTTTTAAAAAGCATCAGGGACTCCTAGATCTTGTTATAATGATTAATCCCAAAAGTGACTACGTAAGCACACAAGGATCCAAATTAGTTACGAAAGGTTAACTTTGAAATGGAAATTACAACTAAGTTATACAGCTATGAATTAACTTTCATTAACTAGTTCATGTCCCTTTTAATAAATATGGGTAAAAAATCATTTCTTTTCCAAGGTTCCGAATACATAAAACTTAATTTACTCCTAAGTTCACCATATGACTGTGTCAAAATATAACCTTCTGAAGTTTCTAACAGAAGTCAAGACTTTACACACTTGTATGAGCCTTTCCCTGTGTTTGTGAAGTAGGCTGGACTGGTCTCAGAGTGACACGACTGAATTCAGCAGATGAGGGAAAGATTAGATTCAGAGAACAGATAATCCTTTTAAAACATGCAGTTACTATTTAACTTTCTTGGGTAATGAAGAATTGACCAATTCAAGTTTTTCTCTTCAAAGATAATTCCTTTCTATTCTGAGTATACCAGAAAAGATTTTTTAAAATTATGATTGTTTGAAGGTAAATGCATCTTCAAGAAAACATGTAAGCGTAATACACAAGAAAACCGTATGGAAGAGAGCCAAAGCCATTCTCTGGTGAATCCAAAGGGAAACCCAGTACTACCTGGCATCTCCAGATATTGAATTGATTTGTCATCACTTAGAGCCTGAGCGCTAGATGAGTCTTAAATGTTAAGAACATTAGCTGTTATTAGTTACTGAAAGAATGTTCCCGCCTCCCGATTCAAGGGAAGGAAAAGCCCAAACCAATCAGATGTTGCTAAGGGCAGCATGTGGGTAGTGGGCGGAAGGGAAGCCACTGGAACAACTTTCCTCTTCAGGAACAAGGGACAAATTCTCTTGGTTTGATGTAAGAATCACCAGAAAACAGGAAAACAAGAAAACTGAGGCAGGGTCACTTCTTTGCGCTTTCTTTAAAAAAATAAATAAATAAATAAAAATGGAAGGGTTTGTTAATCACTATTGCACATGGGAATGAGTGCCATGTGCAATAGTGATTAGGAAGGTACTGGAATGTGCTCTCACAGTGGTGTCCAGATAAGCAAGGAGGAAGTGCTGATGCACGCTGTAAGGCTTGTATGTAATGGGAGCACGCCCAAGTCAAGTTTAATACAAGAACCACACCACCTCTTTCAGGGTGGCGGAAAAACTAAGTTCAGCTGTACCCAGCATCTAAAATCTCCACTGTGTGCACCTGAGCTAGCTGCTAAGCCGGGCCCCCACTTAACGGACAGACCTGGTGGCATGATCAGCAGGTCAGCGCAAGCAATGCCCCAACACTGACCGTCCCGAGCGGCATCCTCACAGCTCTGAAGGCTGCAGGATGGATGTCACCTACGACCGTGTCCCCTGTAATTTCCGAAATGTGTGGCAACAAACCTCAAAATCAAATTGCCTTAGAAATCCTTGGCTTGGGCTCAGTTTTGTTTTTAAAAGGCCAACACAAATGATACATGTTTTAAAAGGTGGCAAGTCCTGTCACATCCGGTAACGCCAAGGAAGAGCACAGACACCAGTCTTTTAACAAAAAGGTAATTGTCTCAGGGCCGGCAGGCAAACGCGTTCCTGGAAGAGGAATCTCCATTAAAACATAGGTGGGTTCTGAGCGCACACTTGAATGACATCACACAGCCTGGTCTTTCAAAGGGATTTCAAATGTCTCACCCCTTTCCGAAGTTATCCCACTGACACTCAACCACCACAAAACGTAACCCAACGGAAACTTGGGAGATTTCAAACCTAAATATGCAAGAGGGTTATAAGGTGCTGATGTTTATAAAGGGTGCTGATGGTTATAAGGGCGCTGATGGGTATAAGGGCGCTGATGGTTATAAGGGCGCTGATGGGTATAAGGGCGCTGATGGGTATAAGGGCGCTGATGGTTATAAGGGCGCTGATGGTTATAAAGACGCTGATGGGTATAAGGGCGCTGATGGTTATAAAGACGCTGATGTTTATAAGGGCGCTGATGGGTATAAGGGTGCTGATGTTTGTTTATAAGGGCGCTGATGTTTATAAGGGCGCTGATGGTTATAAGGGCGCTGATGTTTGTTTATAAGGGCGCTGATGTTTATAAGGGCGCTGATGGTTATAAGGGCGCTGATGGTTATAAGGGCGCTGATGGGTATAAGGGCGCTGATGTTTGTTTATAAGGGCGCTGATGGGTATAAGGGCGCTGATGGTTATAAGGGTGCTGATGGGTATAAGGGTGCTGATGTTTATAAGGGCGCTGATGGGTATAAGGGTGCTGATGGGTATAGGGTGCTGATGTTTACAAAGGGAAAGGGTGCGTGACAAAAACCACTTGCAAAAGCCAAGCCACCCCTCACACCACGTGACTAGCTCCGGGCGGGTCCCCAGCTCCCGTCCCGGCGGCGGGATCCCAGCTCTTCCCTCCTTCCGTCCGGAACTAAGAGCCCAGGGACAGGGGCAGGGAGGGCGCCCCCTGCAGCCGCGGGCGGCGAAGAGGGGCCGCCGACCCCACGTACCGGCCCCGAACCGGCCCCGAACCCGGCCGTGGGCGAGCGGGCCCCGCGGAGGCGGCCGCTGGCCCAGCCCAGTCCCGGCTCCGCGGCGCCCGGGCCGGGCCTCTCTCCGGCGAGCGCCCCGCCGCCGAGTCCCCCCGCTCCGCGGCTCAGCCTCGCCGGGAAGAGCGAACCGCGAACCAGAGACGCGCGGGAGGCGCGGCGGGAGGGGCGCCCCGGCCCCGGCCCCGGCCCCGCGCTGGGCCTGCCCGGCCGGTCCCCGCGGCGGGAGGGACGCGCCCGCAGGGCCGGGCCCGGGGCCGCTCGGGGCGGCGGGTGCGGGCTCCCCTCGGCCCGGCCGCCGCCACGCTCCCGCCCGAGTCCCGCCGCCGCCCGCCCGCGCCCCGCGGCCCCCGAAGGCCTCGGCCTCTGGCCCGGCCCCGCCGCCCCCACACCCCGCTCCCGGCCCGCCCCCGCCCCCCGCGCCGGGCCTGCGCCCTCACCTTGGCGGCCATGGCGGCTGCGGCTCCGGCTGCGGCTCGGCCCGGCTGGGCGCTGGGCGACTCGGCCGCCGCCGCTCCGGGCTCCTCACTCCGCTGCGGCGCCGCCCCCGCCGCCGCCTCCCGTGGGCCGTGCGGCCGGCGGAAGCGCCCGGGGCCGGGGCCCGGCCTCCTGCCCACGGTCCGCCCCCGGGAGCCTCCGCCCCGGCGGCGCTGGTGCCCGCCGCCCCGCCCGCCGCCCGCCGCCCGCCTCAGGGCAGCGCCGGCCCGAGGCCTCAGGGGAGCGCCGGAGGCGGGGGTCGGAGGCGGGGGCCGGGGCGGCGGAGGCGGGGGCCGGGCGCCCTGGGCTGCCGAAGGGCGTGCGGCTCCACAGCCGGCGAGCGGAGCAATGGCTTCCTGGTCCGAGCGGCCCTTCCCGAAGGTTCCGCCGGGGTCGGGCGGGCCGGGCGGCGCTGGGCTGCGGCCCCGGACCTTCCGGACTGTGACCCGAGCGCAGCCCCGCAGCTCGGCCCAGCGGGCAGGGAGGCCCGGGAGTCCATGTTGTTTGTCAGAACCGCCTCAGCGGGCCCCGGTTTGTTAATGATCCACGGCCGGTCCGAGCGCCGCTTCCACTCGGGAGCCAGGCACGCGCCCCAAGACACGGAGGTGCCTCAGCCTGTGCCCCGGTACGACCCCCTGGGTGTGCGGGGACCCCCTGGGTGTGTGGGATCCCCCCGGGATGTGCGTGATCACCTGGATGTGCGTGATCTCCCGGGATGTGCGGTGCAGAGGCAACTGTCAAGCCAAGCACCTTGATTGGGCGAGGAAAGCAGTATGTGCAGTGAATGTCAAGTCTGTGTGCCTGTGAAATATTCAACTTGCCCTCCAGAGACTTCACGAGTTATGTTCAACAGTGGAGTTTAAAAGAAGCGCATTTTAAATGCCCAGAGTTTTCTGTGCATCCTTACGTTCACTGAGTTCAAGTCCACGGCCATCGTGATGTTCATAACAGTGGCCTACGCAAAGGAGGGTTACCATTCACCCACAGCCGCTCACCGTGTCCGGCTTTCACATCCCTTCATCCGTCACCCTCACAGGAAACCTCGGAGAAAGTCATGATAGGCCGCTGTGTACAGCCCGAAAGAACCCAAGGCTTCCTTAGAAAACTGAACACGACCTTAACCTTGGACCTAGCAGCTCCTCTTCTAGGAATTTATCCTGCTGCCTATAGATGCGCAGGAGTGGGCAAAGCTGTTCAGGAAAGTGTTGTTCTGTGACAGCCCCAAACAGAAAGTAACCTATCCTATGTCACTAAACATGCTGTATCCATACAAAGGAAGTTCTAGGAAGCCCACAAGAAAGTGGTAATGTTTTTAAGAGGTACTAATTAAGGTAAAAAGAACTTTATGTGTAGCACAATCTATTTGTGCAAAAAATGGAAAATACTTTGTGTATGCCTAGAATTTTTCTGAAGGTTCATCAGATGCTATTGTCAGAATGTTTTGAAAATGTATTTATTACTTTATTTTAAAAATGAGTTTACATTCTACCAAATATCTTGACTAAGAAGAACACACATGCTGAAACAGGTTTGGCTCAGTGGATAGAGCGTCGGCCTGCGGATTCAAGGGTCCCAGGTTTAATTCCAGTCAAGGGCATGTTCCTTGGTTGTGGGCACATCCTCTGTGGGGGTTGTGCAGGAGGCGGCTGATCGATGTTTCTCTCTCATCGATGTTTCTACCTCTTTATCCCTCTCCTTTCCTCTCTGTAAAAAATCAATAAAATATATTTTTAAAAGAGCACATACAAGTATTTGGAAAAGCTAAGATTTGAACTCGGGTTAATACTATAGAGTTTTCCATATTCTTTTCAATTTGAAAGCTAGGTATAGCTCCCTTTCACAGTTGAACAACGCCCGTTTTGATAGGAAGGTACAAAGGGTCACTCCTGTGATACCCTCAGTTGATGTGTTCCCACAACCAATTCTCCTGGGCACCTGGCACCAAGGAAGCAAGACCAGAATCCAAGCTTTTCCTATTTGGACAATTCCTATAGTCATGGTTTCATTTTTATAAGTAACCATGGAGACACCAAACTCATCATGACCAGTGCAAATCAGTTAAACACTAAAGAAAACGTGAAATCACTTGGTATTGTTGAGAGGATGAAACACTATGGCATGGTTTTACAGAGCTTAGAAGTACAGCCACTAATGTAACCCTCAGATGAATCTGAGTCCAGCTCCCTCTAATATCACGCTGGATGGCATTTGTCATGGATGTAATTACCAAATACATGCCAATCCCCTGATTTATAGTGCAGAAACAAAACCAGGGTAGTTAAATGACTTATCCAGGCCACAAAGTAGGCCAGAGTAGGAACAAGAGCCTACTTCTCTTATCACAGGTCCCAAAACATTTTGAACTAAAAATATTTTAGGTAAGATGTTTGAAGGGACTAGTGTGAAGGGCAAGACAGTCACTGCTAAAAAAAAAAAAAAAAAAACTGGGCAAGAACTCTTGTCCCAAACCTCGCGAGAGCCACCACCTACATGGAAGAACAGAAGCATGACACCCTTTGACCTCATCCATGAAGGCCGGCCCCGTGGAACAGTGGCTTCCCCCAAACTAGGAAGTAGACCTCCCTCAAGGTCATCCTGAAAAGTCCTGGGCAAACTTGGTAGTAGGTGGTCTTCTGCCTCCAGTTGATCACATTCACACCTCTCTGTTCCCCCACCACCACCTCCTTTCTTCCCCCAGCTTCCCCAGAAGTGGTGCCTTATGTGGGCTCCCTCAGAACCCAGATCCCTGGCATTGAACTTGGGACACATGCAAAGTTCAGTTATTTCCTCTCCATACAGCCCGAGTTTCCATTACTCCCATGGGTGAGAACACAATTGCTAAGTAAAGAAATGGATTTGCATTCGCAGGCAGCTTTTGATTGAACATTTGCAAGAAAAAAAGAGGTGTGCCTGGAGCAAAGCTATTCCCTTTTATTCACGTCTTTTATCAGGCCAGGGAGAGGGAGCGATAAGGATTCTTGGGAAGCCTGTGCTAGAGGTTCATCTAACCCTTGCCCTGAGTTTGTCCAGTAACAGGTGTTATGACTATAAATCTAAGGAGTTAAAGCACTTTTATTCTTACTGCAGAAATTAATTACTTCATCATTGTAATTCAGAAACTCTCTAGCTCCAAACTCACTTTTTCACATTGAAATGATAGTTGTTGTTGTTTTTAAATCACCTTTTTTAAACACTTGAATTTTCTTAGATACAGCTACAGTGTCTCAGCAACACACAAATACTTTCTCTTTTTCCCTCCTTTAAAAAAAATATATATATATTTTTTATTAATTTCAGAGAAGAAGGGAGAGGGAGAGATGGAAACATCAATGATGAAACAGACTCATTGATTGGCTGTCCCTCAGGCCCCCTACTGGGGATGGAGCCTGCAACCTGAGCATGCGCCCTGACAGGGAATTGAACCTTGACCTCCTGATTTATGGATCAACACTGGCGGGCCGCTCCCTCCTTTTTTCCTTAGGAGCACAGACTTTGCTGTCAACGGGGCTGAATTGTTAGTTACAACCCATATCACCTTAGGTACATTACTTCATCCTCAGTTTCCTGACTACAAAACGGGGATCATAATAATACCTGTCTCATAGGTTTCTTGTGTGATAATGAGCTCAAAGGATTTGGCATGACGTTCTGTACATAATAAACAGTAAATATTAGTCATCATTCTGGTTTCTTTGTCTAGTCAAAATTAGATTGTCCTTACGTTCCAATAGCTCACATCCCTACTGAGTGCTAGGTCAACTAATGTGAAACTACTGTGGGGAAATGGAACTATGGAAAATAATGTGAAATGGGATGAAAACGGGTGATGGTCGCCCACTATACATGTTGGGGAACGGGAAAAGTGGAGAATAATACAGGCCCCCAAAGTCATCATGGGTGTGGAACAAGAGTATATTTTCTCTCACTTTTTGAGTTAAATAAAGTTAAGGTGAGCCTAGGGGTGATGAAAATAAACATCAGAGAGGGGAGTGACAAGTGCCTTTCTACACAGTAAATGTATCTAACCCTCACCTTGTCTCAGGCACTGTTGCAGGTGTTGGAGATAAAAGTCCCTCGTCCTTTAGACCTTAGAATCTAAAGCGTGTAGGGGTAGGCAATAAACCATAAGTACATATATGACATGTCAGGTGCCAAGTATGTGCTCTGATGGGAAATCAAGCAGAGCCAGGGCTTTAGAGAAATGGGAAGATTGTTCTATGTAAGGCTGTTCCTTGGTGTTAAATTAACCAATGACATGTGTAAAAGTGGATGGTTTCTTGTTTATTGTGGTTGGTTGGTTGGTTGGTTGGTTGGCTAACTGGTTCCATGTTGACTAGGTCACTTTTCTCCCTCCATTGTCTGGGAGACACAGTCCATGTAGCATAGGAAATGGTATCCAGAACTGGAGATTTAGCTGGAACCTTATGGCTAGCACCTGAGCAGACAGGAAGGGACATAGGTAATAGTGGGAAAAGGCTGGAGTTGACAAAGCTGCATACATGGCTTGGGGGGCACAGGCAGGCAGGGTTACGCTGCAACAAGGACTGTCTGCTCTTGGTTCTGTATGAGACTGTTTGCTCATTTTTGGGTAGTCCTGACTCCCGGAAAGAAATATGCGACAGAATAGTGAAATCAGTGCAGTGATAGTGAGACTGGCTAACAAGTTGGCTTATAGCCTTTAGAAACTTTGATATCCCCTAAAGCATTACCCTAGGACCATGGTCAGCAAACTGTGGCTAGCAAGCCACATGCAGTTCTTTGGCGCCTTGAGTGTGGCTCTTCCACAAAATACCACAGCCTGGGCACGTCTATTTTGAAGAAGTGGCATTAGAAGAAGTTTAAGTTTAAAAAATGTGGCTCTCGGCCAGGCCCGGAGCAACCAGGCCCGGAACAGCTCGTTCCTCGCATGCCCATGCCCCAGGGCTGCCTCTCAGACATGGCTGGAAACTTCTGGGGGAACTTGAGGATCTGCTGA